TTTGCATTTGTAGTAAGGCCTTTACGTGCCTTTCTCATACTTAAAACAGGAAATTTCCCTCTGCTGCATGTTACTGCCAAAATATGACACAAGAACAAAACAAGCATTGAAAACCCAAGAGCACATATTCACCTCTGGCCCTAGGGGAAAAAAAAGGATTATATTTTTTAATTTAGTTAAAGCTCTGGGAATCACTTTTATTTTCACTTTTAGCCAGTTCTAATCTTTACATCTGAAAATGGACTCCATTCCCCCACCCCAAACTCCGCCTAGAATTATGTAAGTGTTAAATCATCCACGCAATCTTTGGCATCGCTAATCCAAAGGTTTAAGAACTTTACACGTATATAGATATTGAAGAGAGTCTTTACCGTAGAGAAATCAAGGTATGGGACAGGTAACACTCTTAATACTGTAAAAGATTTCCTATCACTGACACTAACTTTTCAAAAAATATACTGGTAAAGTATAAGATTTGGCAAAAAGTTTCTGGGTAACATTTACATTAACAACTTAAAATCTCTATTTGTAAACTTTGCTGTATATTTACATTGAATTTGATAATGTTGTCTGCTTTGGGAGTTGCGTGCGTGCGTGCGTGCGTGCGTGTGTGTGTGTTTTCTGGTTAGTATGTTAGGTAAAAGAAATCCAATGCGTGTATCATGTAGAAGACACCCAGAATATCAGTCTTCATCTTCTTTAATTCATTCTTTTGGTATCTGTCATAATAAAGATTAAATAAATGAAGTATATAAAGTTAGGGAAAGAGGTCATTATTTCTGACCCAAATCATCTTCGTTTTAAACAGAACTAAGTATGATATAGATTTGGACTTGACAGATACTTTCAACACTGAAATTTTATGATTCTGTAATTTCAACAGATTATTTTATGTGAACAGAATTATACATTCTTGGTAAAATAATTTTGCCCTCTTTACATTTTCTGATTTTTTCAAACCTAGGGAAGTAGAAGAGAAAGGACTAAGCATAAAGATTTACACATATTTTTGCCGAGGTATGTGTACTTTTCCCCTACTTTCTCCCCGTTGTTCACACCTTAGCTGGTTTTAATCTAAGTTCTATACAGAGAGAATTATACAAATTGAATTGGAAGTGTACGCCTGTACACCGGGTACACACTCACATCTAATTGTCTCCAGTATCCTAACTCCCAATAGTACCCTGCTTCTTTACTCTCTTAGTGTTGTTGCTCTTCCACACTCATCCCCAGCTCACACAATGAAGTGATTCTCCCTCTTAAACATTTTCCTCTGTATACCTGGGGAGTTGCCTGAATTGAACATTTCTATTTTTTCTTGTTAACAATTCAAAAAAAAATCTGATGGTATTTTTTCTAATACTTGATACACTCCTTGTAACCACACTATACAGGTTTTAGATATTAACCTTGACTACCTCTAATTTCCTTATCCCTCTGGAAGGGATTCTTGTACTTTATTTTCTATCCATCGTTCTATTAACATGCTCATGGCTGGAGCCATAAGGAAGGGCAGTTTGGAATGCTTTTCCACGTGCAGAAGCACTTGCTCTAGAATATATTTATGGTCAGTAGGCCATTCAGCTCTCTCTGAGAAAGAGCTGCCACGATGACATAACTTATTCTAGCATCCTTCCACTCTTACAGTGAAACTCACTTCCTTCACTCCCTGCCCCACCTAGAGGAAAATTTTACAGTGTTGCTAGGAGAGGCAGGTTTTCCATTTAAATACTGTGCATTTATTGATGTTCTACCATTTTTCGAACTGGTCCTTTCAAGTTGTTTCTATCCAGGTACAGAGGAATGTGAAGGGCTGTTTACTCAGTGCCCAGGATCAGACCAGGGAATGGGGTCCGGGACTGCCTTCCTCAGAACAGAGACTCCATCCCAAGCAGGGCCCTTCAGCTCCGAGGTTCCATTTTCCTTCCCGGTTTCTGCAGCACCCAAGTCTTCAGAGGTGGGCTTCCATTGCGTTCCAGCTCCCGCGGCTTTCCTAGCCCAAGGATACTGCGCTTAAGGAGTGGTGCACAATTTCGGCCACTTCCACACTGATTTGTTCTTCGAAACCCGAAGACCAGGACAGAACTCTCGTCTCAATTTTGTTTTACTTCTCAGACGCAGGCCCTTAGATTTCTCCTGTCAGGACTAGAAGTGGGCTGTGGAATCACCCTCCCTGCTGGACCACCTTTCCCACCCTCCTCACACACAGAATGTGCCAGGAGGCGGAGAACACACCAAGCAGTGCGCTGCCTTTGTTTTCATTAAAAAGGCACACCGGGCCTTTCGAAGTGTTTGGAAAATAACCACACAAAATGTAGAACATGGCTTTTCCTGGCTAGAACTCGTCCCTTCGCTCTCATTTCCTGTTTCTCGGCCTCTGCTTCGGTTCTCTTCCCACCCCACTCTGTGCCACATTTGCAAATCTTTCTCCCCTTGGTGTAAACTTCCCCTTCGCGGCCTTCCCACGGCCGGGGCGGTTTCCCACGCGGGGCGGGCTCAGGGGCGCCGGGCCGGGGTGTCTGGCGGCCTGGACGCCACAGCGTGCTCACCTATGTTTGCAAGAAAGTGGCGCACGCGATCGTACCGTCGCCCGCCGCGCCCGCTCCCCGCCCCGCGCGCCTGCCCGCTTCCGCCCGGTCGCCTCCCCGCCCCCGCCGACCCTCCTGACCCCGCGCCCTCCGAGCCGCCGCGGGAACGCCGGGCCCGCTGGCTGCCTCCTCTCCCTCCCGCCCCAGAATCTCGCCGATCCACTCCCCCGGCCGCGGAGGCGGGGCGGGTGGGGCTCCTGGGGACGGCGTCCCGGACTCGGCTCCCGGCCACCCGCTTCTGGGGGCTCCCTCCTGGGGCACAGGGCCGGAGCGGTGGGGGCTGGTCTCCACTCCCGCCACTCCTCTGCCGGGGTCTGCAGCTCTCGCTTCCTGACCCTCCCGCAAGTTCGCCCCCTGCCTAAAAGACGAGCGCGGGCGGGCGCCCCTTCCCCTGGGGCTCCGGAGCAAGGCGCTCGGCTCCGCCTCGCCCCCATTCATCCCGCCAAGGTGAAGCGCGGGGAGGGAGGACGCCCCCACCTCGCCCGCAACGTGCGTCGCTCCAGAACCCAAACAATGATTTCCCCCCGCGTTCCCCGCCCAGCCCTCCGCGGGCCCCACCCTCGCGCGCACCCCCACGCCCAGGGCACCGCCCGCCCGGGTTGCCCCGGCTGGGACCCCATTGTTGCCCGGCGCCCGGGGCGGTCCCCGCGGGCGGCAGCGCGCTGGCCCTGCAGCCTTGCCCAGCCGCCGGAGCCGGCTCCGCCCACACCTTTCCAAGTTAGCTGGTGGGTGAGCCGCGGGGACCGCTCGGGCCCCCGGCCCCCTCCCAGCGCGCTTCTACCCGGGCGGGAGGGGAGGGGAGGGAAGAGGAGAGGGGGGCAGGGGGTGGTGAGCGGGCTCCGCGCTTTATTTGTCTCCGAATTCTCTTCTTAAGGCTGCCTAGCGCGCTGTGTCACAAAAGAGGGGACTTTCTCGCGGCTCCGCACGAGTCCTCTCCCGGGGAGTTGAAATCGGGGGTTCCTCCTGCCGCGTGGCCCCGCGGACCCCATCGCCCTGCGGCTCCCCAAGCGGCGTTGGCCATGTGTAGGTTATTTTGGGTGCCGCAGCAAGGTGGTGCAGGTGATCTGGAAGCGCGACCGAGGCCGACGCCAGAGCGGGTGGGGCGGGGGCA